CCCCCCTGTATCCCTCTGCTTGCTTCAGACACCAGTCACCTACTGTGCTGCCAATACTTCAGATCTTGAGTGTGTGGTGCAGCATGTCAAAGGGCTCTACCCCAGTGCTCCTGTGCTTGGGGCTGGTGTGTCTTTGGGAGGGTGAGTTGGTGCATAGTGTTTCCGCTGGCCTCCATTTCTGGACCTAGATTTGCCATCTGTGTCTTTCCTCCATTTCTTTTATTTATTCATTTTTAACAATTGCATGATTCGTTTCTTTTCACCCTGCTGCAGCATGGTGTTGTTAAACTACCTGGCCCGTAAGCACACCGAGTCAGGATTGGTTGCCGGCATCACCATCTCGGTACCCTGGGATGCACGTAAGTCCTCTGACTCGATGGAGGAACCGCTCAACTGGCTGCTCTTCAACAGGCACATCACGAGATGCTTGCACCGCGCTGTCACCAGGTTGGATACATTTGGGTTCATAAATTTTGTCTAACAGTTTTGCGTTTGTAAATCCAGTTAAATAAAACCCCAAAATCTGTTTCTCACAGGCACAGGAAGATTTTAGAGAAAGTGGTGGATGTTGACTATGTCCTGAAGGTATGATACAATATTACTCACAGTTTGTCAGTTTCTTAGATGTATAATTGACTCTACATTCATCGTCATCTTGTTTTCACCCCCTTTTGTAGGCTCGGTCCATCCGTGAGTTTGACGAACGCTACACGTCTCTGATGTTTGGTTATAGCTCATGTATGGATTATTACCGCGATGCCAGCCCAGGCAAAAAGCTCCCCAATACAGCCGTACCCATCCTGTGTCTCAATGCCGCTGATGACCCTTTCTCTCCACAGACTGGTGAGTACACAACAGGAGAGGTGTGTCAGTATAAGCACTGCAAAGGGGAAATAACAGCTGTAATGGTTTACTCATAAATGCTGATTCAGTAGGCCTTGTCAGATTTGGCGCACAAAAGATAAATCAAGTTTTGTAATTGTTGAGAATTTATATACTTCTTAACACAATTCCTTTTTTTAAATGTAATCAAGGATGTTGAAGTCACATGAAAGGTTTCCGATTCACGTGTCTGCTTTGTGTCTACTTTGCTGTCTGTTTATATTCATTTGGACTTTTTCTGTCCTGCTCTCACAGCCTTCCCAGTGTCTATAGTCCAGGATCTTCCTAACGTCGCCCTGGTATTGACGGCCCACGGGGGACACATTGCCTTCTTGCAGGGTTTTTTTCCTCGAGGTGAGAACTACATGGAGCGCTTGTTTGGCCAGTTTGTGCACGCAGTCTTTGAACACCAGGAGGAAATGAAGCAAGCCTGTGGTATCAGAGAGGAGCAGATGAAGGACTAACGAGCAATATGAAGGCACTTACACTGAAGTAATACAACATTTGCAGCTGCAACTCTGCTCATCTACCTCATGACCTCAGGTTCATGTTCTGTAGACAGTCAAATTTTCCTATGATTACACTTTGCATGCTGTAGAGTGTGGATGGGACACCAGTGGTTAATGAGCTGACACTGTGTAAAGACCAGTAACACCCTGTGTGGGGTTTCAGATAATTGTATCTGCTGCCATAAAGTGTAATAATGAATCGTAAGCGTATCATGAGGACCAGATCACTATGTATGTGTGCTGAATGTATTTCTATTAGCAGTAAAGTGAACATCAGTTTTTTGTTTGTTTGCAGTGATTTCCATGACAGAACCATACCTGTTTTCAATGCAGTGCCGCGCGATGGCCTGGAGGTCACGGCCATTTAATACTGACTTTTTGCACTTGTTCTCTGTGCACAGAGATTCCTCTAGATTCTCTGAATATTTTGATGATATACTATGATGAGATATTCAGCGATTTTATGTTATTCTGAAATTGTTTCACAATTTTTTGCACATTGGTGAACTTCAGCCCATCTTTACTTTGGAGAAACTCTGCCTCCCTAAGATGCAGAAATATTCCTGACCTGTTGCTAATTAATCTAATAATTTGCTACATATTTCACTAGTTGAGAACAAGGTAACATAGGGTTTTGAAATTGATATCGTAGATGTCTAATATGAGGCTGAGGATTAGCACTGCCAACCACCAGTATTTTTAGTGAATGTTAATTCACGTAATAGGGCTAGTGGCAATATTTTTATGGGTACTTGTATATTTGGTGTCAAAAGACATGAAGGAGGAGAATGGAGCAAAGGCCACAACAAACGTTTATGGTGATAATAAATCAACCTGAGGGAAAGGTGGGATAAACAAGAGTAAGTTGAAGTGTACAAAAGGAGAAATGAGATGAGGAGGGAAAAGGAGATACATTTGTACATACTGAACTGATCATCACAGGATACTGTTAGAAATATGAGGCAGAAAGAAGGCAATTCAATTTCATTCAAGTCCTCAGACGAAAAATAGATCTAATAAATATTTTAAAAATGCCAACTTAGCTGATAAAAATAATTATTTTTGTTTTTAAAGCCGTAAATAAACAAAAGTTTCGATCCAAGCTCCACACCAGCTCGTGGCGGTAATGCAATCATTTATTGATTGTTTTTGATTGAATCTTTATTTTGAACTTGTTGAAACAGTATAACAACATAGAACTAAAACGAGACAAACAAACAAAGCAAAACAAAAGGAAAACGAGCAACCACAACTACAAATAACTTTCATGCTCAAAAAGGAGCAGGAAGAAACATAAGCTTATTTAATCCCACCCCCTTTTCCACTATCTTGGAAATCAACAGACTACAGAAATCCTCCTTACAACTACATTATATTTTACGTGTATTTAAAAAAAATGTATATCTATCTATCTATCTATCTATCTATCTATACTCATTTTCAATAACCCCATAGAAAGTAAAAGAAAAACTATATCTCCATATTTGTAGTTTACATGGATCGTAGCCATGACGTTGAAGTTGGAGCTTTTGTCCAATCAGGAGCTTCGCCTGTGAGAACTAGGAAGCAGCTGCTCCCGGAGAAAACACCAGACTATTACCTGATGGCTACCGGCGTCTAACGTAATATCGCCAAGGCTGCTGGGAAGAGTCGAAGTACAACATATTGAACGTTAGATGTTTCTGATGAAGGCAGGTTGTCGGACATTAAATATCATATTCTTTGTGTCCTGTTATTCCGTTGTGTCGGTTAACGACGTCGTCGGCTAGCAGCTCAGCTGTCAACCGCACTTAGACCGTTGTCATGTTTCTGACTCATGCGGAGGTATGGAGAACATACTGGGAGTGTGTTTCCAGGCCATACACGGTGATCATCTGCTCCCTCACAGCCACAATGTACTATCTGTGGGGCCGCGAGTGTCAGGTCAGTCTCTGCGGTCGAAGTTAGCGGCAAAGACTCCGCCATACCCGCTTTGACTTACAGTTTAGTTGGATTTTTAAGCATTTTATTTCCTTTAAAATGAAGATCAC